AAATACTATCAACGTAAATACAACTCAACTGGAATACGTCTTCTAAGGGCAAGTTATGAATATTTCTATTCACAATAGCAAGAACTACCCACGTTGACATCTCTCTCTCTCTCTCTCTCTCTCTCTCTCTCTCTCATGCTCAAAACATAGACTTTATTACCCAGAAATAATTTCCACTTTACTTAAGCCTGTGAAAGACAAAAAGATACAGCATGCTTTGGAAGAAAGGAAAACAGAAGGATTAAGGACCGTATTAGCTTTATGATTACATAATTTGGCAAATAAGACAAGGATATCTAATAATAAAGGAACCATAGGAAATGCTCCCCATAGAAACATACAAGTAACCCTCAATGGATCAATAAATTTTCAGCACCAGACATAAAGTGCCTGGGTACTTCAGCGCAACTCAGAACAGTAGTGTGGATTCATGGAACGCTAGCCAGTCATGCCCTAACTAATTTAATGAAACGCTAGCCAGTCATGCCCCAACTAATTTAATGAGAAAAGAAAAATAGTTGTCAATAAAAAATTGAGGTTTAGTATAAAATTAGATGACCACTAACACATAATGATGAAGTCAATGAACTAAGTATTTGTACTAGTAATGAAGCTACAGAAAGAAATTACTCATGATAAATAGTTTTATTACAGAAGATAGGAAATACATCGACATGCCAAAGCTAGAGAATAATATAGGACAGTGTAATTGTTTTGGTGTTTTTGGTATGCAGTTGATGTAAAATTCTGGCACGTAAACATTTCATTGCAGATGAGAAAATGGTTTCAGAAAAGATAAACCAAGTAAATACTTCATTCTTGACTACTATTTTGTTTTAAACCAGTATTGCAAGTTACCCTGGGCCTCCTTGATGTTTAGACACTACTGAAATTCAGATAGGCACCAAATCATTACTTTTATAATGAAAACACTTGAGCCTGTTTGGATCATGTATTTACAAAACCCAGGTTTCCTCCAGATCAGGATGTTTGCAAAACCCCAAAATAAGCCTATCTTGAGGTTTCCCGAAACCATACCAAAAGCAGGGTATTCCAAAACTTAGGTATTGGATGAAGCCTGGGTTTCTTTTCACCCAATGGCCAAACAACCCTAAGATATACAAAAAACACTTAGATATTTCGACCTTTACAATGTGATATCAATTATATCTTTCTGACCATTCAATCATATCAGTGATTTAAAAAATGCTCGGTCGCAATAGAATCACCCGGTCCGACTCGGGAATCGGTCACCCCGTGCTGATTCCTTCACAATATAGGTTATCATCCAATTCTAGAAGAGACCTGGCAGTTTGCTACAGTAAAACACCGTTTTGCAATAGTAAATCGCTTGTTCCTTGTTTTTTCCCCTTTTGTTTTAACAAAAAGCTGCTGAGTACACAAATCTTGCTTTCAGTGAATTTTTCGAGCTTTTTGGGATCAATAATAGAGGAAAATTATTGATTAGGTCTATAAACACTGATTGGGGTTGGATCGAATTCAAATCAACTCGTTTTTGTGAATTTTGGGAACGACATTTGGGATTTTTTGTGCGGTCGAGGTTTATCCGCCTTTTCATGAAATTGGTGGCCATTTTGTGACTGATTTGGTCCGTTTTTTTTTTTAAATGATCGTGTTAATATGAGCTTCAATCTAAATTCTTCAATTTCTGAAAATCTGAAGAATCACCAATAAATTTTATGCTCTGTTTCACCAATATTTCGTAAAAAGCTTCCAATCAATATCTACAGGGGGATCGATTCTTCGAATCTCAATGGGTGTTTCAACCTACAAGGGCTTACCTTTCATCAAAATCCGGTAATGAGGAAATCTTTTTGTATTTTTATTTTACAATTTATTTATTTATTGCTGTGCTACTGCTCATCAAAGAACAATGGTTAAATTCGCCATTTGTATCATTTCTCCTAGTATTTTGCATCAAACTTCTTCGAATTTGTTTCAAAATAATCATAGAAAACCTATCTACAACTATGTAGATCCAATCTAATGGATCTAGACAAATTACCCCATGGATTGAGCACAAAACTATGTTCAGTTTTAGAGTTTTTGGAGTTTTTTCAAAAACAAACTTATTTCACAAATTATTAAATTATGGATTATCAGAGAAATTTGTTGAATTACTGAAATCCAGATGTTTTTAAATTTTAATTTAAATTTTAAATTTATATTTAGTTATTTACCATTTATTTTAAATTTTATTTTTTAGTTGTTTACCATTTTTAAAGTTTATTTTTATCAAAGAAATTTCTTTGACCATTGATTTTCTGTTTACTGCAATGTCAATTTATGTTAAATAAATATTTGCAGTTAATTCCTTAAGTTTATTTTTTGTTGGTTTGATTTTCATGTGGGACCTAGATGATATATACTTTTGAAATTAGAAAACTGAACTGGCTCATGAAATGCATTTCTAATTCTTTCAAATGAAAATTTTGAAGTAAATTCTATATTTTGTGATTGTAAATCCATAAAATTTGTTTAATCTAGAGTTCTTAATTATTGTCAACCATTCTTAGTTATTCATGCATTTGGTTGTATGTTTTTGTTACATTATATCAAAAAAACATATATGCTCCTTTTGTGAGATGTGAATTCAATGATGAATAGTAGTTCATACAGGGAAAGACTATCAATATTCGCATATTGGTGCAAAATAATGGAAGTAAAAAATGTAGTACCCCCATTTCTTATTGGAATCCCAAAAAAAAGCATTTATAATGATTTTTAATAATTTTTTTGAACTTTTTTAAGGCCGAATCCGACAGATCCATCGATCCGGACCAGTTTTTAGGGTGCCCGATCTGGATCACTGATCCATTTTTTAAATCACTTTAACATATCAAGGAATCTCATGCAATCATTGTAGTAACCTAAACCACATGAAAGAAACTCACCTTCAGTGCATAGCCAACCATCTTTGAAAAAGCTGTAATAGTAACATGCTTTCCTTCACGTTCTATCTGCAGTGAGGGACATCAAATAAGACCCCATTAAACAAAAATTATAAGAAAGAGATTTGATATACCATTGGGTAAAATATACCTTCGCCTTCCCAATTGGAAGGGTAAAACTGGAATCCAGAGCTTCTGCAGATACAGGAAACGATTCACCATACCTGGCATCATAACCGATTTTAGGATCCCAAGTTAATGCAAATCCAGATTTACAATTTTTAATCAGATAGAAAAAGTGTTCAGCATCACTTACAGTAGCTCATTTTCAAGGAAAACAACGGGATCTGGGTCTCTAATAGCAGCTTTCAACAGGCCTCGAGCATCCTCCGAGGAGTAAGGAGACAACACTTTTAAGCCTGGACAGGAAGCATACCAAGATGCATAGCACTGCATATAATCACCATAAAATGTGTATTTTTAAATTTCGTTCTCCCGCTTTTTGATCAAATTCATATAAAGAAAAAAAAAGAACGGATTGTTGGTCAATCCCATAATTTATTGGTAAGTTATGATTAAGCACAGGGGTACCAACAGGCTGTTAACTTGTATTGACATAACTGGTGACTTTTTGCTTTTTGACAAATAGTAACCTCAAAAAACATTGAAATATATTTTGCATCTTGTGATAAAAAAAATAAAGAAAAAACGTTCAGTTTATACTTTTTACAATAAATGATGGCACAAAAGACAATTGCACAAATATCTATGTTTATACTACATGAAATAGCAGTACACCTGTGAGTGTTGAGCACCAACTCCAGCAGCTGCACCGTTGGGCCCTCTGAAGACCATAGGTACAGATAATTGACCAGCAGACATGTAATTTGATTTTGCAGCAGAATTGATAATGTGGTCAATAGCCTGCAAAGAAAATGACATGATGGGTTTCCCAAAAAACAAAGAAGGGGAAAAAAATGAAAGGATAGTGCATATATCGTGCAAAGACTTTGAGAAAAATCTCAAGAGAACAGCTTAACCAGGGATCTTAATGGACATTCCACAATCTTTGTATGGCATAAGCTTTATATCAATTTAACTTCCATATATTGGAGAGCAAAGGACTGTTTGAAAGAGTTAAAAACCACACATCATTGTCACAAATAATATTACTAAAATATCACAATCTGAGATTAATAGGAAGGGGGCGGAATCCCCACCAAAGAGCCAAGGCTGATATTACAAAAAAAAAACTGCACAAAGCAAGATATGGATAGCAACAAATGGAAGCTTCATTTCTTCAAATCAGCATCATAAACCATGGACACATTCTAATCTTTCACCAGGAAAGACAATCAATCTTTAACTCAACCAATACTATGCACTAACCAGCACATGACTTATTCCCTTTCGCTCTTTTCTTAAGTACTGATTTGATTCCCTATCATTATTGAAAGATAACACAATTTGCTACCTTGACGTGTCTTCTTGCCCCAAAAGATCTGGTCCACTAAGTGCTATGTTCAACAATACAGTACTTCAGTTTGCACAAACAGGAATCTGATTATTGCATGTAGAGCATCTACAAAGTCTTTAAGGCAGCGCCCGTGTAATATTTAGAACTTAGAAAATAGGAAGAGAGCAGCTCTGGGGAAGAGGGAGGCATGGTAGGTGAATACTTTTTATGGTTCAAGATGAGTTGCACTATTTACAAATGAGCTAGGTTTTACTGAATCACGAAGTGGCAGGTTAGCCTGATTCCAGCTTTGGATAAAGATCATGGATCTATTTAGGACACATAGCTGGTGGCGATTCAAACCTAGATTTGTCGGGGGATCATATTTGTGGTTTAGGATGCAAAACTATTGCGGGAAAAGAAGGAACATTTTTTTAATAGTTGAAAAGAACAAAAAGAAGAAGTCAAGAGAAGTTAAACATATGAAACAAATTTATTTTCCAAGGAGAATGGCTTCAATTGAGTGCTCTGACAGGTGAGCCTTGCCTATGAGAGCAATGGACAATTGATAGAACTAAATAAAGTCATGAACGGCTCAGAGGAACCATATTATTGGGCCGAGATATTAATGTTATGAATTTTCTTTTAGAAAGCAAGGCAGCAGATGTATAGCAGGGTACAGAACATTTCTTTCTTTCCTTGTTTTTAATATAAGGGGAAGAGATAAAACAAGAAATGGATGAGGGGCAAAGCCTTTTTAAGATTTATTGGAGCAAATATTAGAGAGCGAGAGAGAGATAGAGCCTCTTTTTTATTTATTTATTTTTATAAAGGGAGAGAAGAGACAGGTAGGTGATGGGAAGACAGAATCATCTCATTGAACCTTCTTACACATGTGACTCCTACAAAGAAAGGGGTGAAAAACGATTAAACCGGATGCCAGGGAAACTTAGTCAGACTTTCAGACCCGCTGGGTGTGATGCAGTCTACTACAATGGTCACCTTAAGTATTAACTCACCGCAGTGGAATCACTCCTATTTAGTGGTGGCAACGGGGCGGCTCAAGTCCACATCAACCGGGACCCGAGTAGGTTCCTCATGGACCCCGACCCGGCTCCGACTCCAAGTCGTAACTTGGTCCCAGATCCGAATCTAGAAATAGAAAAAATAAAAAATTTATTATATATATGTATAACATATATTTTTCCTACCTTTTATACCGGATCGGGTTGGGTTCGGATAGGGTCAAAGCTGGACCCAGACCCGAATCGGGTCCAAGTCATTTGGACCTGGACCCGTCCCTCTAGCTCCAAAACATAGACCTGGACCCAATCCTGAACCTGGTCTGCCCCGCCAAGTTGGCGACCCGATTGCCACCCCTATTCTTGTTTAGTATGGCACTAAGGATAGCGTGGGTTTCTCAACTTAACGCACTAAGAGAGACGATCTCAATCAAGAGAATTTATTTGAAAGCTTGCTTGCTTCTTTTGAAGCAAGGGGACGATATATAGGCCTCAGAAGGAATCTTTCTTGCCTCCTTTACATCATGTCAAAGAAAAAGTAAATGAATAGTACAAAACATCTTATTTACATCCTATCAAAGAAAACGTAAATGAATAGTAACAATTTTATATCATTCCAAAAAATAATAAAAGCTATTGAATAGAAAAACTTTACATCTTGTCAACAAAAAAAAAGAAATAGTTAAAAGATAAGAATTTTTATGTAACCTTCAAAACTTTGTCTTTGTTAGAGGGATTCTTCTGCACATCAGTCTTCTTTGAGGACCCTCATATAATCGTGTAGATGATTCGCACAAAATCTTTTGGTATTTTTCTGAAAAACCATATATTTTTTGTATTTCTTTATGTAGAACGGTTAGTAATTCACTTGAAAATGATCCTTCTTTTTCAGTGAATTCTTCATCACATAAATATTCATCTCTATATCTTCTGACCACTCTTGATTCTGCAAAATTTATTCTCTAAAAAATATTCTCAAATTATCTTCCCACTCTGCATATCTCAATAATTTATTTAGGAAATCGGTGACATCTGAATTAAGATATAAAGGTCTTGTAATGAATATTAAGTCATCAATGACCTCTTTTCTTATGACATCTCTAGTTCTCGGAAACTCCGTGTTAAATTATTTATCACAATAGTTATCTTTCTTATATATATATGACTTCTTCAAGGAGGATAAGTATTGCGATAAATAATTTAACATGGAGTTCCCGCGAACTAGAGATGACAACTTTGCTCATAAAAAAAGATGTCATTGATAACTTAATATTCATTAGAAGATCTTTATATCCTAATATAGATACCAGGGATTTCCTTAATAAATTATTGAGATATACTAAGTAGGAAGATAATTTCAGAATTTGTTTTCAGAGAATAAATTTTACATAATCAGTAGTCAAAAGATATAAAAATTAGTATTATGTGATCGAGAATTCATTGAAAAATAAAGACCGTCTTCCAAGTGAATTACTAACAACTCTGCAGATAGAAATACAAAAGTGTGTGGCTTGCCAAATAAAGACCAAAGGATTTTGTCCGAATCATCTATAAGATTATATGAGGGTCCTCAAAGAAGACAGTTGTACAGAAGAATCCCTTTGACAAAGACATAAAGCTTTGAAGATGACAAAAAGATTCTTATCTTTCAACAATTTTTTTATTTTTTGTTGACAGGATGTAACATTTTTCTATTAATTAGCTTTTACTATTTCTTGAAATGATGTAAATTTCTTACTGTTCCTTTATTTCTTTTTTTGATAGGATGTAAATAGGAAACTTTGCACTATTCATTTACTTTTTCTTCGACATGATATAAAGGAGGCAAAAAAGATTTCTCATGAGGCCTACAAATTGTACCCCTTGCATTCAAAAAAAGCAAGCGAGATTTGAAACAATTTATCTATTGGTTGAGATCATCTCTCTGGGTACGTTAATCCGAGAAACCCACACTATCCATGTTGTCATGTTAAACAGGAGTGAGTCCACTGCAACGAGTTACTGCTCAGGATGAATATTGGGTTATATTGCATCACACCAATAGGTTTGTAAGCCTGAGTAAGTCTCCCAAGCATCTAGTTTAATCTCTTTTTTGACCTATTTCTTCGTAGGAATCACCAATATAAGAGGGGTCCGATAAGGTGGTTTTGTCCTCCCATCTCCTTCATGTCTCTTCTCTCATATAGTCTCTCTCTCTATCTCACCTATTTCTTCGTAGGAGTCACCTATGTAGGAGAGGTCCGATAAGGTGGTTTTGTCCTCCCCTCCCTCTCTCTCTCTCTCTCTCTCTCTCTCTCTCTCTCTCTCTTTAGGGGTTAGTAGAGTACAAAGCAATTCTCTATTGTGAATTTTCTATTGTCATAAAAAGGAAGGGTTTAAGTAAGACACGAAGTAGCAAAGCTGTAGAGGATAATGAAGATTTATGTAAAAGATTTGTGAAATTATTCAGTGGTTGGAATTTGGAAATCTTCTTTAATGTATTGAAGAATGAAGCTATGGACTGCAGGTACTGCACAGACTATGACGGAGTATCTAAAGGGAACCAGCTTTAAGAACAACACACTTCTCTAATGAATTTTTTTTAGAATACACACGTCTCTAACGATTGTATCACTTTCAGACCATATATCTCACGATAGTTACACATTTTACATCTCAATGAAGATTTAATTAAAAAAAATATAAGGCAGATTAAGAGAATACGTCATAAACTATAATCAGTGAAATACTACAGCTCAACACAAAGATGACAGTCCAAATAGCTATTCCTTGTTGGAACTTAGAAAAGAGAAACATTACTGCTGCTCTGCAATCAACATCATACATGTGTGTAGCGTAACTGAAAAATGATAGTAGAGAAGTATCATACAGCATCTCAGCACGTGACTACATTGACAAGCAATCATATTTACGTCTCAGAAGCCCCATCCTAGCAATCAACTGATAGCACTTTCCATACAGCAAAATGAAACAAGCAATTTACTTCTTCACATAATAAAGCCAAGCAATTAAATCATTGCAAATCTTACACAACTATTCCAGCATACTTTGAAAACATAGTATATCTTAGCTAATAGCATCAAGGCAATTATACGTTGCTTTTTTTATCTTTTATTAAGAATATTTTCATAAGGATTACATGTCAATCATGAAAGAATAACCAAAGGTATTCGCAAAGAGAAAATGGCATCATGATTACCACCAAAACAATGTTCCTAAACTATAATGGAGATGAGGATAGAGCAGTAACCTGCATGGAGAAGTTGAATGTCATAAACTCTACCACCGGTCGAAGTCCATAATAAGCCGCACCAATACCAATACCAGTAAACCCAGCCTGCAAGATGGGATCCAACAGATTCTTAAAGAACCACTCATAAGAAAAAAGAAACCATCAAAATAATTTGAAGCACAAATCTCCATGACCTATTTATGAGTACATTTAAGAAAATGGCCTACTACCAGAGGATTTCCCTATAATGCTGCTGCTGCTAGGTTAACCCCGAAATTTTCTTTTCAATTGACAAAACTAAACACAAAAAATCATAATTCTAATTTCCAAAACACGACATATACCTTATAATTGGAAAAGCGATAAAATAAAGGAATTCCTATACATGTGAAGAGACGTTATTTATTATGAATCTACTGTACAAGTACAGATTCAATTGTTATCCCTTATTTATTATTTTTGCTTAGAATTCAAAAATTAAAGAATTCCAAAAAATAAATTTTTTCTCAATTCCATACATGCAAGGAAGTCTTGTTATAAGGCGAGATTTCTACTTTTATTAGGAAATAGAAAGATATGCAAGATATCTTACTTATTAGGACTCTAACATGTATATAGAGTTTACTACTTGTTAACCAGAGAGAGGAAGATCTAAAGGTCATGAATTATTTGTGGAAAGTTTTCTTTTTTTTTCCTTTTTTGATAGGTATTTATGAAATAAGTTCTAGAACAGGATCAGCTACTGCTTTGTTTTAACTATAACGTAGCTGCTGCTAGGCCAACCCTAGAATATTCAAAATTTATATGTAGAGTTTAGGTTTACCTCAGTAATTGGAGTGTCAAGAACCCTCTCAGGACCATACTTCTCTAAAAGACCTTTGCTGATCTACACGAAATACCCATTTAAATGATCAGAATGAATAAAATGTAAATGTGCATTTGTCAAAAGTCATATACAATGACCATAAACTATAAACCAAAGAGGTTTTCTAACCTTGTAAGCCCCTTGGTACTCTCCAACCTGTGATGAAATTTCTGTGTCAGAATAATATGCTAAATGTTAAAAACAAAGATTAGCTAAAGTTCCCCACATGTAATATCCCAACCAACCTCTTCACCCATCAAAAACACTTTTGGATCAGCAGACATTTCCTCATCAAGTGCAGAGTTTAGAGCCTCTCGCACTGTCATCTGCAAAAGTACAATAAAAAGTCAGAGACTGCTATCCAGGATTGAAGTCTTGAATATACAATCACAGAAACACCATGACCGACAAACCATTTCACATCACATAAACTTCTTCAAAACCAATAGAAACACAAGTTTCCAAAGCAAGATAGTTATCTGAACCAAATGATGCAAATATTGAAGTACAGTTATTCAGTCCAAAATAATCTATTTATACCCATCCAAGAGTAAACTCATCTTACAAGTTATAACAGCTAAAAGATACTTCACTTAAGACATCCTAATAGCCCATCACTGGGCCAGGTTTAGAATCATTAGATCGCCTGCAATGAAACCCCCGTTGCTTATTTAATTCCCCAACACTTCTCCATATGTTTTAAATAACTGATCATGTATATCCCCGCTTTTTAGACTTTCTGAGATAGTTGCATACTTGCATGTGCATGCAACTGTGAGTAATTAGATCATAGAGATCCTCATAAAGAATATGCCCTAATAACACCCTTCGGAACCATAACAATGCAAAATTATAATGGGTGACATGATTCGCATCCGAAATGCAATAAATAGACAATTATCTGCCCAAAAAGGTTCTGTTCTAAGTCTCACAAAAGTTCTGGTATCGGTGAATTCTCTAGTGGATTTGGATGGAATATCAGTCCTAATAGATATCTGACGACATTTCTTTACTTTTATGTTTATTTATTTTCATGTCAACCTCCTGATTAACAGTATCTCAGAAAAATCATGATGATACCTCATGTTTGTTCCTGTTCCAATATCTTTATCTGAACTCAATGTTGCCAGTAACATGAGTAAAAATCGATCAGTCACGTCGTGCCAAAACAACAATATGACAAGAAAATCCTAATACACAAAGTACAGAAGAAATAGGGAGAAACTTTAGGCATCCCCATTGCTAGCACAGTCCAGCCCGAACAATTAGAAAAAAGGGAAGGTAACAACTATCAGATAATATACCTCTTTGGCACCACTGGAAAAACTTTTTGATAGAAAACCAATTCCAGGTATGATCCTTTGCATTGATTGCCCATTGGCCTGCAGGTGCAAGTTACTTCAAATTTCAAAATGATAAAATAAAATAAAATAGAGAGAAACAGAGAAGAGATCAAATACAACTTATATCAAGTGAACAAAAAGAATAACTAGTTGTTTACAGATCACGAAAATAAAATCCAGTACCCATATGTTTCATGGATGATAAACAAGTCCTTCATTAATTTATGAACTCGATGGAACTAAAGAATAATATTGTCATGGATCAGACAGAGAATTTGCAAAAAGGTATCTTACCAAAGAAGAAACAACACCTCCCGAGAGAGCTTTATGTCTGATGACACCCAACATCTTTCCTTTGACTGCTAATAGGACCCTAATTGTGCAATCAGAATGTCAAACAAATTAAATACTCCCAATGAATAAAATGTAAAGGAAAAGATAAATACTACAATCAACAACCTATGTTTCTAAGTTGTGCACAGGCATGTAAAGTTTTGAAATGCCTTTCACTTTCATTAACAAAAAAAGTATCCTATGAACCACCAAAAGTCTGATATATGGGTTTATCTCTAGAGTAGCCTATAATCTAATCCATATTGCTGGAGTTATGCCCATGTAAAAAAATAATTCTTAACTATTTAATTATTATTTATTATAATTATTTGTGAGCATCAATTTCTAGAGAGAATTTAGGCATGGCACCAATAGGTGATAAAATGAGAGAGAGTAGACTTAGGTGGGCTGCCCATGTGTGATGCCAACCAAGTACAGCACCTGTTAGGAGGTGCGCATTAGTTCAAGTAAAAGGACCGAAAAAGACAAGGGGCAGGCCGAAAAGGACGTAGTTGGAAGTAGTCCAAAAAGATATGGGGCCTTATGGCCTCACTGAGGATATGGCCTTTAATAGGAGCAGAATGGAGAACCAAGATTCATGTAGCCGACCCCAATTAATTGGGAAAAAGGATAAAATGATGATGATTCGTAAGCATCAATTTATTGTTAAAACGAGTCCTATAGGCAAGGCCAAGTAACCTAGGTGTGTGTACAATTAAGGGTGCAAAAAGATAAAAATAAAAAATCTAAAAAGTTGTAAAGCACATACGAGTGTTATATAAAGTTTTTGTATGGGATTTGGATGTTCTTGGAAAGGGTATGGTTTGCATAAGGTTGCAACATTAAACAATCCAATTAAGGCACGCCTCTAAATTTTACCATAAATGTAATTTTGATATCAAAAATTTTTAGGATGGCTTGAGAATTTATTTTCATCTCTAATTATAAAATTTTAAACTCTAAAATGGTTCAAATCAAGTAGATCTATAAACATATAAAAATCTTGAAAATAGACGGTCCAGATAATGTGTTACAAGATACACTATTTCGCGGACCCGAAATCTTTTTTTTTTTTCATATTCATAAGTCTCTATGTCGAGATGATCAATTAGAGGGTTGTCCAACATCCAAACAACCTTTTATGATGGATTTTTGAGGTGTACCTTTAATTCTACATTTTAAGGTTGCAACCTTATATAAACTTCTTCCTTTTGGAAAAGATTGGTGAGTGTTTTTTACCACAATCCCTGTATTTTATATTTCCTTTTTTAATTATTTTTGCAATATCCGCAACAACAAATCAATTTTTCTTAATAGCCATTTTTTTGTACTTTTTAAAGCTTATTTTGACATTTAAGGTTTCTTTTGATTTATTTTACTTTTCCTACCTTTATTTATTATTTCACTTTTTTTATTTTTTAAAAAAATTTCTAGGGCTTTTGGCCCTGTACAGGATTCAGCAAGTCCACTCGGACTTGCCCGAGTACCTTGGCGAGTTTTTAAACCTTCGTTTAGTAAATAGTATAAGTATTGCACCACAAATAGAATAAAGAAATAAAGACGCGGAATTGAGAAAATTCCTATTCTCAACTATGAACCACCTATTTACCCAAATAAAAAATTATTTGAACCACCCTTGCTGTCAACCCTTCTGTTGCAAGCTGATGCAAGAATCGAATGGCAACAACATTTATAATGCCTCACAAACATGCGTTTATGATTCAATTTCTTAAATTTGAATTGTTAATAGGTTTATGATTAGTTGGTAGAAATTTCTGAAAATTGAGAAGACAGAGATGGGGTTGCATTAAGAACCCCCAGAGATTTAATCAATCTGGCTCATATCATTTCCTCCAATTTACAGCCCAGAGAATAACAAAATTCCTGTGTTTTTTCACTTATGAATGCCCCATATTTGCAGAAGATTCTATTGTGGGGAAAGTCATCAAATGTTTAGGGAAATCCACATAGGCCAAGCCAATTAAACCAAAAGTAAAAGAATGATCATTGCAAGATCTTAAACAGAGTTCAGAATCTCAGGTTTCTCTGCAATCACTTCTAGGGGGGAGAGGGAGAGATTCAATCCTATTCTTCAGGTGCAATCACTTCTAGAGAGAGATGTTCAAGCCTATACAGTGCGATGAAATCACTTCTAAACTAGAGAGAGAGAGAGAGAGAGAGAGAGAGAGAGAGAGAGAGATCTATTCCGTG